CTCTTCCAATGATATAATTTACAGAGAGCAGAAGGGAGCAAGAAAGGGATGTTGGGGGTGCAAGGATCAACTTCTTGTACAGAAAATGATTTTGGAAGAGGCTAAAACATATCACCGCAACCTCTCCATGTGCTGGATTGACTACAAAAAAGCATACGACTCTGTCCCTCACGAATGGATTCTGAAGTCTCTTCATTGTATTGACCTCCCTGAGCGACTACTTGATTTACTCAAGTCTTTAATGAGTTGCTAGTCGACTCAACTTGAGATGTACTCGCAAGGGCAGGTGCAGACTTCGGAATCTATTCCAATCAGAAGGGGAATATTTCAGGGGGATTCCTTTAGTCCTTTGCTTTTTTGTCTGTCTTTAAATCCTTTGAGCTTTCTGCTCAATAAAGAGGAGGGTTACCATCCCGGACCTCCTCAGCACAGATCCCCAACACCTCTTACTCATCTCCTTTACATGGATGACATCGAGCTCCTTGCCAAAGGAGATTCCAATTTGAAAGAGCAGGTTCTCCTTGTCGAGGCTTTTTCTAATGATATTGGCATGACATTTGGACTCGACAAATATAATACTCTTCATTTGAAACGAGGCAAGGTAACTAATGATGGATCGGTCAAGTTACAAGGGGGAGGAGTTATTGAGCATCTTGTGGAAGATCAGGCCTACACCTTTCTTGGAATGCAAGTTCGAGACAAGCTCCAGAATGCCCAGATTCAAGACAAACTTCGGGCCGAGTACAAATCTCGTTTAAAGAAAATCTGGAGCTCAGAGCTAAATGCTCGAAACAAGGTCAAAGCCATCAATACTTTTGCTGTGCCAGTCCTTTCCTATTCCTTTAGAGTAGTTGATTGGACAAAACAAGACATCCAGAGTCTTGACCGGCTGACCAGAAGGATCATGTCTGATAACAGAGCCCAACACCCTCGTTCCTCTCTTAACCGTTTATGCATGCCAATCAATTCAGGAGGTCGGGGTTTGATTAATGTGGAGGCTCTTCATGATAGAATTTTATTGTGTACTTTTGCACATATTTATTTATCGGATGATCCTCTGGTGATGCATGTGAAGACTCGTGATGTAAGCAAGGAATTCCACAGCTATTTTAAGCGTGCCAAGGTTGTTGGACAGAATCTGAGATTTGAGGTTGATTTTGTTGATGGCGATGTACTGCTGGACGGTACAGTGATGGGAGTAAACCAGGTGAAGTCCTTCACCAAGTCTGCCCAGAGTCGGTCTTTTGTGGAGAAGCTTTCTGAGAAGCCATTGCATCGTGTGTACATGCAGTGTGTGGAACAGAATAGCAATCCAACCGACTCCTTCGCCTGGATGAAGTCGGCTGGTCTTAAATGTGAAACTGAGGGCTTCCTTTTTGCTGCTCAGGACCAGTCACTTCCCACTCGCAATCGCCTAAATGTGATTCTTAAAGAAAATATCAATGTGAAATGTCGACTTTGCAATGAATTCACAGAGACTGTCCAACACCTTGTCAGTGGATGCCCTTCCTTGGCACAAACAGAATATCTTAAACGACATGATGGCATGGCTCGTTGCTTTTACTACCGTCTCCGACATGCCTGTGGCTTTGACTCCGAGGTCCATCCATGGTACGACCCTGAACATGTCCAGGGCGTCATGGAAAATGATGCTTTCAAACTTCTCTGGAATAGGCCCATATACAGCCTCAGAAGAATTCCAGCCAACAAACCTGATCTTGTCCTTTTTGATAAAGCCAATGAATTTATTTATATCATTGAATTTTCTGTCCCTTTTGACACCAATGTGATTGGCAAGATTCAGGAAAAGCATGATAAATATGCGGACCTCGCCTTTGAAATGTCTCGCTTGCATCCCAAGTACACAGCCGCCAGGCTCCCCATTGTTCTCGGTGCCCTTGGTTTGGTACCTCCTAATCTCTTGGCGCAGATCAAGTTCTCCACCGGGAGTACAGCCCTTCTGACACTCTGGGTAATGCAGAAGGCTGCAGTGTTGGGGAGCCTTCATATTCTCCGGAAAGTTCTTGGTGGGTTCGACTAGGCAGCGTTTCCTGGGAGAAGTCTCATTCGCTTTCTGGGCTGCGTGTAGAGGGGGCGAGGGCCCTGAGCTGATGATGAGCCTTACCAGCCTGACTGTGCCAGGATCACCCGAACCCTCTCTGCTGCATACTATCTTTAATCTGTAAAACATAATAATAATAATAATAATAATAATAATAATAATGCTAATTTTGCGCCTAGAATCCAGCACGATGTTGCTCTCTTGCGTTACATTATTACCCTGACGGAATTGTACTTTCAAAGCTGCTACTAAGCGCTAAGCGCGACCGTATAGGTCCGTACATCCGCTTTTCAGGTACCCATTTTGAACAGCTGGGTGGACTGAGTGCAATGTGGATGAAGTGCCTTGCCCAAGGACACAACACAGTATGAGACCCAGGTCACAAATGTTTGTGTCTCCACCGGGATTCGAACCCGGGCCTTTGGCGTGAGAGGCCAGCAAGCTAACCACTATACCACCGTGCTCCACATAGCCATATAGCAGCGTTTGTTTCTGGTTTGGCCAAACCCGACCAAACAACCTCCGAGCAAGAGTTGCAAGAAGCATGCCGAAATCATATTTTCATAATTTTGTACATTTTACAAAAGTGTGTGTGAGATAGGATACATCCAGTGTGCAATAGCCACTGGCCCGCTGGCCCGTGGCTCGCAAACATCCAGTCGGACCAGTACATTTTCACAGTCACTGGCTCGACTGGCTAGTGAATTTTCATGGGGTCATTTTGTAGATATATCACTCTCTCCGACTTGTTAAGTTATATTACACTTTTAAATCATGCAAGATTATGGCCTGATACAAATTTTCATCAAATTAGCAGCTAAATGATGAAACCCGTGTTTACATTCAAATTTCGGGCTAGTGATTTATTTTGTGGGCTGGTAACTTTCAGGCATAGCTATCCCGACTGGCTAGCAAAATTTGGAAACTATTTCACACACACATTGGTAGAATTTCAATCAAATTGTGACTAGAAACGTTTTGCATACAAGAAAATAACATTTTGTTTTATATAATCCAGTCATCAAAGGAGTGTAAAACAACTGGACTATCACAGATGTTGCACAGATTATATATAACCCTATAAATATATATCTTCATATTGAACAATACAATATAAAACGGGCTATAGATCGCGAGCAACTAAAAGGGGAGATCACTCCACAAGGGACCATGGTGTCTTACAGTACCTTTGTTACCGGCATGGACCCTCGTTGCATTTACACCATGCCTCTAGGAACTGGCGATTATCAGCAAATTTAGCCAAACTTTAAAGAACAAAAATTATACGATTAAGACCTGATAAGACAATGATAAACATATCTCGAATCATGTGGTCTTACGCACCCTCCCCGGAAGACAGCTTGGGTTGACCACAAACCAATTGGAAGATGCACAATGGTTAGAAATGAACTGATCCTCAATTTCTTGACAGCGTGAGGTGGATCATTTGTCTTCTCGTCCCGGTTCATACACTGACATTACCGGTGCACGGTTCCATGGAAGGTGAAGAAGTAGATCAAGTTGGAGGTCAAGAGGGTTGACCATTGTTCCCATGCAGACTCTACTGGATTAACCAGAGGTGGACAATTTTCCCAGCCAGTATATGAATAATATGAATAGACATTTGCACATTCTGCATAGAAATGTCACGATATGGCTGAAATATTGCTGATGTGACTTTAAATCTTAACTCACTCACTCACTCACTGCATAGAAATTATCGAAATTTACCAGAATTAGCGACACGAGGTGTGTCAGGTTATAAACAGTAAGTAACATCGCCAAGTTTGAATAAACTTTTGATTTATGCATAACAAGGATCAAACTGTAATTTGCTTCCCTCCCTTTGTTCAGTAAGTGAGCCTCATTATGCACTGGGTGAGTGAGTGAGTGAGTTTGGTTTCACGCCGCTTTTAGCAATATTCCAGCAATATCAAGGCGGGGGACACCAGAAATGGTCTTCACACATTGTACCCATGTTGGGAATCGAACCAAGGTCTTCGGCGTGACGAGCGAACGCTTTAACCACTAGGCTACCCCACCGCCCCATTATGCACTGACAAACGCGCTGTCTAACTCATACAAAAGACGTCTTCCGTCCGCGTTGATACACTGACATTACCGGTGCACGGTTCAATGGAAGGTGAAGAAGTAGATCAAGGTGGAGGTCAAGAGGGTTGACCATTGTTCGCATGTAGGACATGGGGTTGGGCTAGTGTTCGCATGTAGACATGATGGGTGGGCTAGTGCTCCAATGTAGGTCATGGGGGTTTTGGCTTTTGTTCCAATGTATGCCATTAGGTATGGTCTATTGTTCGCATGTAGGACATGGGGTTGGGTAGTGCTCCAATGTAGATCATGGGGGTTGGGCTTTTGTCCCAATGTATGCCATTTGGTATGGACTATTGTTCGCATGTAGGACATGGGGTTGGGCTAGTGTTCGCATGTAGGACATGAGGTTTGGGCTAGTGTTCCAATACAGGTCTTGAGGGTGGAGCTATTGTTCCAATGTAGGTCGCGAGGGTTGAGGTATTGTCGAATGTAAGTCATGAGGGTTGAGCTATTGTTCCCACGTTGGTCATGACGGGTGGACTATCGTTCATATATAGGTCCTAGGGGTTGAGATATTGTTCCATTGTGGGTCATGAGGGTTGAGGTATTGTCGAATGTAGGTCATGAGGGTTGAGCTATTGTTCGTTAAAGTCTTCCCACAACGGGAAACTTTATACTACTCAGAACACACAACTGAAATGGCCTAACAAAATTGTCCTTTCCTCGACACTCATTTCCTGGTTGTAAGTATCAGCACACACATTGTGACATGCTTTACGTAATTATATTAAACAGATATCGCCGTCTTTATGTTTCACGTTAAAATATGATCGTTGAAAATACCTGTATGATCCGACATATTGTACAAGATAACGTGACAGTGAACTGGTGTAAAAACAGTTTAATTACGATACAGGCGTGACATGATATCTTGAAGCAATAAACAGATGTCAATAGTAAGTATAATATATTACATCAGTAATGTCCAGAAAAAACACATGAGAAAATGAATTCCATTCTTACATCTCGTTCGATTCCACATTCAATTTATAATATAATTTAATACTTAATACACACACACACGCACGCACCCAGGCACTCATGCACGCACTCAAATAACACTACAAGTATCTTCACACTTCAGACCGCCATGTTAGTCCTGACGATTGAGCCTTTCCGAGAGGGGCGAGCTGATAGTTCGATTCCAGGTCGCGTGGTATGGACAGAGAACATAGAACCCCGGCACATAATAAATAATATATATATATACAAGAATCTTGACTCTCACTTCAACTTAATTTAACACAATTAGTCTAGTATGTAGCATAAGTGAACCTTTGGTCAAACTGCAAGGGTGAATGTCCTTTCCTTTACTCAAAACTCGTTTCCTGGTTTTGAAGAAGAAAAAAAAACCCATAAATGTATACAAGATGAAATTAGAAAGTGGTCAGATTTAAATATGTTATATTTGGGATTACACTCTCTCATCGATTAAAGTACTTTTAGTAGGTTGATCCCCCCAATTACATATATTACGTCCATCCTAATCACAAACCCCTCTTCTTCGTTTGCACCATGGCGATCTCCTGACAGCTGGTCCTCATCATGCCAAACTTAGATTTGAATTGACAGGATCCAAGATTTTTGTGAGTTAAATAAATACGGAAGCCAAGTTGGTGTAATTGTCTAAGACTTTTCAAATAACCCATATAGATTTCAGCCGGGGGCTCATAGATATAAGTGCCCTTTTCTATGATCCAGCTGTGGAGCTCCAGATCGAGGGTGGTGACGTCATCCAGGAAACCTGTCGCAATGGCTTCTGGGAGGACTTTCCATTCCCAGTGCTCGATATCCATCTTTAAGACATTGATGCGTCTCTGAAAGAAATACAAACATGAACGGTGTTACTGCTTGATTCTGGACGTATTGTTATGTTGGAAGAACAAGATCTACTCTTACTCTACTGTACTGGTACGATTTGTTTGTTTCTGGTTTCACTACGCAATCAGCGATATTCCAGCCATATCTGTAAATAATCGAGACTGGACCGCTCAATCCAGTGATCAAGATCATGAGCATCGATCTACGCAGTTGGGATACGATGACATGTGGCCACCTTTGCCTATTTCATGCGACCACAGTCTTTTTTCGAAAGCTAGATGTATTCCATCAAACAATTGTAAGTTGTGTATTGTTAAACCTCCGGATGTGGTTCACAGCAACTCAACCACTTGTCCATTTAAGATCTACCCGTGAAGATCCGGGTTAGATTTGGTCTTCAGTAACCCATGCTTGTCGTAAGAGGTTACTAATGGGATCGGGGGTCAGGCTCGCTGACTTGGTTCACACATGTCATCGTATTCAAATTGCGTAGATCGATGCTTGATGTTGATCACTGGATTTCGACGCATTTTTGCAATATTCTAGCAATATGACGGCAGGGGACAGCATTCATTGGCTTCACACGATGTGCCCTCGTAGGTAATCGAACCCGACATTTTGACTTGACCAGTGAACGATCTAAACACAAGGCTACTCAACCCTGAGGTATGGTCAGAACAGAGAGTTGTCTCACCTTGTCGTGACCCAGCTCCTGCTTCATGGACCCTAGTTTGCGCATCTCCCATCCTGTTTGGCCCTCTGGGATGTGAACATCGGTGTCAGAAATTCCTATCTGATGAAAAGATACTTTCTCACTCCGTCTGTAGGACTTCGTCTTCATGCTGAAATTTGAACACAATGAATACAGGTTTGAACATACGTGTGATTGAGTGAGCATTGGTTTTCGTCAAATTTAGCAATATTCCAGCAATATCATGGCGGGGGAACACCAGAATTAGCTTCATACATTGTACCCACATGGAGAATCGAACCCGGGTCTTCGGCGGAACGAGCGAATGATTTAACCACGAGGCTACCCGTCACCCGCTTGAACATAAGAGGGTATGCATACTCGGATAACTTATCTTAAAAAAAAAATCAAAACTGCCTGTCCCCCAACCCCTGGATTCGAAACAAACATAGAGATCCCTCTTCCTCGATTGGTTACTCCATGGAGATGACACGTGGTCAATTCACAACGGACTATTTTCCTGATTGAAATTGATCGATAAGTTTCCTGTGCGACAGCTTGAATTCACGTATGCCAACATCGCGCTTTATTATTTTGAAGTTTATCAGTTTTGCATTAACATCATAGCTTGGCAGTTCACATATATGAGGGATATTATTTTGGAAGTTGACATTAGAAATGGGTAGTCAACAGTAAGGCGGATGGCATTAATGGTGTGTATTAATGCGCCAGTGTTTTCATGAGAATGGACACAATATGTATCGATTTGAGGCTAGGGTGGAAGAAAACTTCCTGTCGTGCCTGTCGTGTAACAATATTCTTTCTTCTCTTTGTTTCAAACTCGCGGTAAGATAATGACACGTATCAGGTACAGACTGGTACCTACCTTGGATCAAACGAATGAACCTCGCATCCGTACTCCCTTGCTATAGCGTCGTCAAAACTAAAGTCGTTGTTTATCCTGAAACAGAACATATATACACATGTAGACGTGGAACGAATGTCTTAACTGTCGCTGTATCGGATTTCTTATTGCCCAGTTAAATACACGGACGGGAAGATCCAGGTTTCAACTGGACTTCAGTAAACTATGAGAGACAACTAATGTAATCGAGTGTCAGACTCGCTGACTTGGTTGACACGTGTCATGGTATCCCAACTGCGCAGATCGCTGCTTATGATGTCAATGGATTGTCTGGCCCAGACTCGATTATTTACAGACCGTCGCCATATAGCTGGAATGTTGCTGGTTGCGGCGTTAAAGAACAAATAAAAAAAAAAAAAATAAGCAAACAAACACAATCAAAAACCGATACACCAAAAACAAGTGAACATATCACTGCGTGCCGTCATTTCTGAGTTAGAAGATGGACAATGATTATGAAAATGACACAATACACCCAGAGCAAGGATTAAAATTCCCTTTTAACCAAAAATACTGCTTGTACCAAGATACATGATCGCTTTTCTTCTTATAATGTTCATTCCTGTATCGTCAAAACCACTGGAAGTATGCATCGTTAATGTAGTGGTTTTAACAGGCAAAGTAGACAAAACACTTCCTGGAAGTATGTTAAGTTGATGTGTTGTGTTTACCTGGAGGAATAAATTGTTGATGTACGTACCTGACAAAGTAGACAAGACACTTCCTGGAGGAATAAATTGTTGATGTGTTGTGTTTACCTGACAAAGTAGACAAGACACTTCCTGGAGGAATAAATTGTTGATGTGTTGTGTTTACCTGACAAAGTAGACAAGACACTGCCTGGAGGAATAAATTGTTGTTGATGTGTTGTGTTTACCTGACAAAGTAGACAATACACTTCCTGGAGGAATAAATTGTTGATGTGTTGTGTTTACCTGACAAAGTAGACAAGACACTTCCTGGAGGAATAAATTGTTGATGTGATGTGTTTACCTGACAAAGTAGACAAGACAATTCCTGGAGGAATAAATTGTTGATGTGTTGTGTTTACCTGACAAAGTAGACAAGACAATTCCTGGAGGAATAAATTGTTGATGTGTTGTGTTTACCTGACAAAGTAGACAAGACACTTCCTGGAGTTTGTTTAGTTGATGTGTTGTGTTTACCTGACAAAGTAGACAAGACACTTCCTGGAGTATGTTTAGTTGATGTGTTGTGTTTACCTGACAAAGTAGACAAGACACTGCCTGGAGGAATAAATTGTTGATGTGATATGTTTACCTGACAAAGTAGACAAGACACTTCCTGGAATTATGTTAAGTTGGTGTGATGTGTTTACTCGAGAAGGTATACAAAAATCTTGCTGGAGGTATGTTAAGTTGGTTTGAAAAAGAAAAGAAGACACTTTCTGAAGTAAATGTGAAATGCTTACCCGACGGAATATACTAGACATTCGCTTGGGGGCCTGTATCGCTGATCGTGACACACCTCCCATCCGCCGTCAGTAAGTTTACCCAGACGGTTGATGTTTCTACACAGCACACCGACATTATCCACAAACCTGAAATATAAAGCAAATTATTAGAACGTAACATAGCCAGAAAGAGAAAGCAAACTTTTCATTTGTTCCATGACATTTTTCGATTTGGAACCAAAGCTCGAGAACTGTATATATGCCTACTTTTTTAAGCTTAAAGGAAAAAGACAGGTGCTCTGTCAGCAACATCTGTTTGATACAGGCGTGTTAGCTGCCATTCCCACAGGCGAGATGCTTTCCTGCGATACGGACAGGTGGGACAGAATGGCTACCTGTGATACAGACAGCTGAGAGAGAAGGGCCACCTGTGATATGGACAGGTGAGAGAGAAGGGTTACTTTTGATACAGACATGTTAGCCAGGAGGGTTACCTTTGATACAGACAGGTGAAAGAGGAGGGTTACCTTTGATACAGACAGGTAAAAGAGGAGGGTTACCTGTGATACAGGTAGGGTATTCCAATCACAACAGGTACACACAGGTGAAAAGGAAGGAAGCAGAAGAGTGTTATCCTTACACACACATGGTTTCTTGTGGTACAGACAGGCGAAAAAGGATTGTTACATTTTATACAGACATAGGAGGATCACATGTGAAGCAGACAGGTGTGAGAAGTAAATTACCTATGCCACAGACAGGCGAGAGGGGAGTGTTACCTATGATACAGACAGGCGAGAGGGGACGCTTACCTGTGGTAGAAACATGGGAAAGAGAATGGTTACCTGGAATACAGACAGGTTACTCAGGAGTGTTACCTGTAATGTGGACAGGTGTGAAAAGAGGCTTATTTGTGGTTGAAACAAGGGTGAGAGGATGGTTACTTGTGACACAGACAGGTGAGAGAGGAGGCTTACCTGCGGTAGGCACATAGGAAAGAGGAGTGCTAACTTAAATGCAGACAGGTATTAGAAGAGGGTCACATGTGGTACAGACAGTTGAGAGAAGTGTGTTACCTATGACAAGCACAGTAAAATGCCAGAACCGAATGCATTCCTGACCAACCCGCGTTATTCCGGGCAAACCGGACAGCGACTCGTTCCCCGCTGGAAGGATTTGATATTTTGGCGCATGAACATTAAGGTTACACACCACAAAAAATTTTCCCATAGACTTCTATAGTAACCTTATAATTTTTTTTTAAATATCCAGGCTATCAACAGCCATTCCATGTACACATGGGTGCACTCTGGCCTTTAAACTACCATAAAACAAAATATCAGGCCAACTTGTTCGGATCGTTTTGCGAGCACAGGAAGCGGAACACATCAACCCCAGTTCCGCACCAAATGTCACCTACTGGAAAATATCTGTACACACAATAAGTATAAGTGATGGTGATAAAAATGACAGCACTAAATACTTAAAATTGTGGTCAGTTTTAATTACTGGTTGAATGTGCTTTTAAAAAACATAAACATACACTATTTCATCCAATCACAGCTGTCACATGTCTCTGTCTCTCTTCACTGTTTACATACGGCTCTCGCGCAGGGAGCATGTGATACTGATTTAGTGTAGTGGAACCTTAAAACAACTGCAAACAAGAACGATAACTCTATTCCTGTTTGATTCCAATGGTACTTAATATCACCGAAGCACCCGTATATGGTATTGCTGTTTTTGTCTCTTTTTCTTTTCTTTATTCCCCCTGTTTGTCATTTACAAAATCAATGACACCCTCACCTCTTCCCATAATTTTTAAGCATGTTTTGAAATAGTTTTATGTACAATATTGATGACCCCCCCGTCCGAAAATATGTACAAAATTGCTGCCCCACCCTCCCCAGAACACAATAGGTGATCCCCCGCCCCCACGTTTGTAAAGGTAGCTAATGCGTTTTTCAAAGAGAGTATTTACCTGTGATAAAGACGCGACAAGTTTTTAAGTGACATTTCCTTTAAAACATCATCGGCTGGGATTGGAAAAGGTTCCTCGACGTTTTCATCTCCCTGAAAGGTGGCTGGTGCAACAACTTTCGTGTCCTCTTCTTTCTGTAAGTGAACAATAATGAATGCATGCCTCGCGCCGAGTTAGCAAATCAAAACATAATAAACAAATGGTCAAAAAAATTGACACAGATCTATAAAGGGAGGATTCTGAGCAGGTCATAAAAATATGATGTATTGGAAGAAAGAGGGTACAAGAAACATTGTACTAAATGAGAGGGGATGAGGTCTGCGAAATATGATTCAATCGTAATACCAGTCTCACCTTTCTTATCACATCCACATGACGGAAATGAGCATTGGGCAGGATATCAGCGTGGGGTTGCTGTTGAGAAGATACCAACTCATGAAAGAGCAACATTTTTTTTCTGTTGACAAGCTCCACACAATAAAAGTTTCATTACCCTTTATATGGATTATATTATTACGATTTCATTTTAAAGCTCTCCAGTATCTTTCCTGTAGTCACAACCGTAATTGTACACTGAATTTACAATAATCCTTTAAAACTGCTTTCAAAATAGTTGTGCAAGGGACAGTGATTAGTGGCTAGATTTTATAGGCAACATTTTCCTGAAAGAACAAAACAATTATTTGTTCGCCACTATGGAAAGTTTTCGACATGACTCAAAAGCAGAAGCTTCTGGATCATATTCTCACCTCTGGGCAATCCTGTCTGTCCTTTGTGAAGAATGACTTTTGCGCAACGAAAAGAAATATTCCAACCATTATCAAAGCTGTCCATGTTTTCAAACTCTGCCTGGCCCACCTGAGAAGACAATATGAAACGAATGTATTTCAGGGTAAAGGATGCTAGACTGACAGGTAAAAGAAATATACATTCATTTTTTATGATGGCTAAAAGTGAAACAAACACGAAACTGTTATTCAACGGTAGTATGATCTGAAATTATGTTCTTGGAGTTCCTTTTGCTGTGTTTCTGACGAGGTACCTTTTTAAAACGATTATCATTTTGGTCGAATCTACTTTTGAGTTGTTTATGTACTATTGTCCGGTTTATGAAAACAAAAATACAATTGAACAGCACCGCCAGAATCAGTTTGTTTGCGGTTGTGTTTTGTAATGGCCAGATTGAAACATTGTCGATATGACGTAAAATGGTAACTAACTTTTTTCATTCTCGCCTTCCAACCCATTCAATAAAAAATATACCCTTGGGTATTTATAATCTTGATTCTATACAAGTAGTACCACGGAACACCCCCAACCCCCACCCCGTTTCGACTCACATACGAGAACCATCTCTACATCATTGGCCCCTTTCCATAACTCAGTCCCAAAACCATTATAGTTTCCCTTCTGTACGTTCCTTACAATGGTCTTGTATGGGACAAATGTATATTTTCCACAAGATCTAAATCTACAACCTCAACGGGAGCCCTCTTCAGTTTAACTGGAGTTGTCTGTTTGTATTATTTGCTTTCGACAGTAAGAACCCGACAAACTGGCTGAACCAGTTAAACTGCACCAAAGCACTTTTGCCATTCAGGGTTGGGTAGATTATATCACCATACTGAATAACAACCTGTATGCAAATGACAGCCGTATTACACTAAACAAACAACAAATGAAATTACAAGTAGAGATGAAATGGGTTTGCACGGGCTATTTTTCCATTCTGGATTATTTCATTTATAATATGCTAGTCAAATGCATGTTTGAGTGTGTGCGCTCCCAGTTGCACTTACAAGTCTGGACTGGATGTGCCAGCTGCCTAGGCTGCAACATCGATGGGCTGTACGCTAAACGTGGTATCTTCATTAATTAATTATGTCTGCTGTAAACAAGTGCAGAGTCTCTGTTGCCAACAAACAGGTTAAGACAAGGAGGCAAATATATCATGATCAACCATGAAAACCTCTACTACTACTACCCCCACAACTACTTCAGACCTATAGGCACTCAGGTTGTGAACACACGGACACCCCCATTAAGGACAAACTTCAGACAGGATACAAATATTGAGTTCAAAGCCATAAAAACCTACCTGTGCCCGTCCTCTCAAGTCAGCAGCATGTTTGCACAAACATTAAACATCACATTCCAAGAAAGGAACAGGTAGATCAACACTTACATGGTCTCCATGGTAAAATCTCAAATGACTGCCAGACCTGATCTGCCCGTCAAGACGGGTGGCCCTTGGCCTAGATTTTCGAAGATCTCTTAGCGCTAAGAAAATCGTAAGTGCCATGCATTAACAAGCGGTTGTAAAACTGCCACTGAATATTTCTAAAGCACATGCGTGAACGTGTGAAGCGGATCCAGCGTCACCATTAACAAGTATTTAGGTACACTGAGAAGCAAAAGAACTTATAGTTTTTAATTGAAAATATATTATGTTAGCAAGCATTGCAAACTAAACTGGTGCTTTGAAAGCATTCAATAACTATTTCTATTTTCAAATATAATGTATATTGCTAATCGGTAAATATACAGGATATTATTTGAAAACAGTTCATTTAAACGTACAGGTTTTTTTGCCAGTGAGTCTAGTGTGAGGCATAAGCCGACAGTGATACAAGTCTAATATATCTTTCCACAGAGCTTTTGTTTTTGAAAATGTCTAAAGACCAAATTGGTGTTAATGTTTTGCATTGGCGGAGCTAAGGGGGGGGGCGGGGTGTGTGTGGTTCAGGGGGTTGGGGAACACACACACACACACTTGAAAATTCCTGGATCCGCCTATGCATTACAATCAAAAAAGTTATTTAAAACGTCTACTTTCTTTTGCCCCTCAGTCTATGAGGTGCACCTGGGTTTTAGTGAGTGAGTTTAGTTTTTCGCCGCTTTTAGCAATATTCCAGCAATATGATGGCGGGGAACACCAGAAATGTGCTTCACACATTGTACCCATGTTGGAAATCGAAACCGGGTGTTCAGCCTGACGAGTCAACGCTTGAAGCCGCTCAAAACAACATCGCTTTGTGAGCAGCATGTTCGCGCAAACAAATATCATATTCCGACAAGAATAGGTAAATCAACACTTACATAGTTTTCATGGTAAAATCTCTAATGACTGTCATTCCGGATGTCCCCGTCAGTGTCGAGCCGGAGGGCTATGATCCGATTGACCTGTAATCATAAAAGAATTCTCAACTCTGTTGGCATGTGCCCATGGCAACAATGAATGCCCAGGTAGCAATCATTCCATCCTTTCGCTTAGCGTTCTATTGATCGTGCACACAGTTACCATGTTGTGGTGTGGCTATAAAGCTGCCCCCTTCTACAGTACTACCTTGTCGAAATTGTAGTGGTGAACACATTTCAAATCATCAATGTTTTTGGTGAAAAGTGAACTTTTTTTCACGTTTAGTTTTATAAGTTTGTGTGTCATCGTGAGCTTATATCAATTAGCTACGATAGCAAGACTGTCGGGAATCGATCAATACTCGAGATGTCCTCGTTCGTAGACGTGTACAATTAAGCTGATTCGGAAGGTGACCAACCATCTGGGTAAGCATCGAGCAGGCGCCGCACGCGTATCTTTCAGACACCGGGAATTTTGACGTGCCTGGTCCGGAGTATAAATAATGGTCTGAATGGGTTGAGCAGCATAGGTCACCAGGGTGTCTGACCAACCACACTTCCTGAGACTGGCCCGGCTCCATATGGAGTATGCCAGTGCTAAAGCCCTAAATAAAGCAAGTCTCGATTTCCCTAGGTTCTGAATCTCTCGTCTCCCTGGGGCTCCTTTTCAATTTAAATGGGCTTGTTTGAAATACACAATGCCATTGTTTGTTACTATCGAATATGGGCTTGTTTGTTACTGAAACAGTTTGCTTGCGCTACTAAACCTAGAATTGTTACGGGGAATTAGCTCCGGGATCTCCACGCCTTCAAATACAAACAGATAGGAAAATCATGACAATTAAACTTTATAACATTAATCTAAGTTTTCAAGGTTTACAAAGTGAATATGATATATATGAGAAATGGGTGTTTATAAGGGAAATGTTCGTAATTGCCAACATTGTATTTCTTACGTAGTTATTGAGATGCCTGACACTTTGTGACTACTCTACAACATAAAACACTAAAACGACCGGTGCCATATCTGTGCGCATTTTGTTATAGAAAGAGCATTATATTCTTGACATATACGGTCACAGACTGGTTATCTTTAAATAAATACCTTCTGCTACCGGCAATCAGAAAATAGATACATAGCTGTAGACAATATTCGTATAGACATTACAAACAATATCACAAGTGATATGGCAGAGATAAAAATACAGATTTTTGGAATATGTTCTAAACGTTACACACGTTGGGCATGTATTGACGATCGGCATCCACGACTCCAGTAACTAAGGTGAGCGGTATATTCTATCTGAGATAGTTTATGCTTCTGGTACACTAATGGTGGCCTAGGACAGTAATGATTCCTTATCTGGGATTCGCTATTATTCATAACCTATTCAATATCTATTTAAACTACAAGGAATTAACATATAGCGACGGAGGGCGGAGGGGTAGCCAAGTGATTAAAGCGTTCGCTCGTCTCGCTGAAGACTCGGGTTCGATTTCCCACATGGGTACAATGTGTGAAGTCCATTTGTGGTATCCTCCGCCGTCATAATGCTGGAATACTGCTAAAAGAGGCGAAAACTCAACCCACTCACTCACTATGTCTGTGTAGGGGTTTTTGCCTGTTGTTCCAAATATCTGAAATCCTGTAGTTTTATACTCTCCCAGGACACAGTGCGAAACATTGTCGCGAACATCCGCCAGTCTGATGATAAATGCTATTTAGTTTTGTTTTCACCGAGTTACAAAATCAAAACTACTTTCTACTGGTAGTAAAATATGTATTTGATTGATGGCCAATAGGATTTTTCTCGTGGCAGCGAGGTGGGTGTCAATATAATACTACTTACAGTATTATTGTTACTTCGAACACAACCAGGAAGAAATCGTTATGTAACAAGTTGTGTCATGGAAAATGTTTGTAGTCATCAATCATATACATATTTTACTACAACTAATAAGTAGTTTTGATTCTTTAACTTGCGTGAAGCGATCTGAAAATAACTCTGAATTATTTTCTTCCGATTTGTCCACGATGTGTCTTTACGATGTCAACAATATAGCCGATGCCCACGGGTGGTCGTCCTGCTCCCTGTCGTGTATTTCTCAAAAAAACAAAAAACAAACAAATTCTATTTCAAATGTAATTGGTACAACGAGCAATGGAGGTAATAAGTTAAGAACATATGCTACCTTTAAGGATGAATATCATCCTGAATTTTATTTATTTAGCCACATGCCTCGCTCTTATAGACGTGCTTTAGCACCTTTTAGATGTGGTATTGCTCCTCTAAGAGTTGAAACTGGACGTTATAATTGTACTCCTCTAAAGGAAAGAACATGTTTTTACTGTAATGATTTTATTGAAGATGAATGTCATGTTTTACTGCACTGTCCACTTTATTCTTTTGAAAGGGGTGTCATTTTTAGTAAATGTGAGCAGCTTATTGTGAGCTTTTTGTCTTTTAGGGACTTTGATAAGATCCGATTTTTTACTGTCCAATCCACAGGTGTCTTTTATTACAGCCAAAACCAGCTTTCTTATCATTCGGCGTCGACATGCCCTTTTATACTCTTAACTTCGTACTGTAAATATATATTATATATCCTATATTCTTTTAGTTTTGTATTTTATATGATATAGTCTCTCATAAGTCTGTAAAGATTGGCTCAACGTTTTATTATTCCCTTCTATGTACATATGTATGATGTTGAGGTGAGACTCAAAAAAATTATCTGTCTGTCTGTCTGTCTCAATTTTGCCGATTTTCAGCCCGGCCGGGCATCGTAAACTAATCTTCCATGGCAAAAGTGGATATGTGACCTAGGCATGAATGATCTGGGCCTTGAGGTTGATTTGGATAACCAAACGGTGAGCGTTTATCCTACGCTGGTGATATCGTGTTGTTGGCTAAAGTGACAGTGACTTGAACCTTATGCTGCAGTGTCTAGACAGTTGGTGTACCAGCCACGAGATGACGGTTAACCACGGAAATCTAAAGAAGTGCATTTTAGAAGACAGTGTACCTAGAAGTACGAGTACTTTCATGTGAGCAGAGTCAGTGAGGTCTCGGACTCTTACATGTATCTCAGTTCAGAGAAGGACATTCAACAATCGACAATATCTTCACTTTACGGGCTATGATACAAAAATACTAAGGGAGGTAAATTTTACGTATTGTTGTTGACTTTGCCAAGGCATTTGACTCAATAGAAGAAATAAGCTATGGAACTTACTAAAATCGCATGGTTCATAAATGAATTAGTCACCCAGGTTATCTCCCAATTGACAGACACCCATTTGACAGACACCCAATTGACAGACACTGAACTAAAGGCTAATTAGGGTAACACCTACGGGTATAATGGAACAGTCCACTGTCTAGTGAGTACAGCAGGGTGAGCCTGAAACAGGCTCGTTACTGAGAAGTTTGATGTAAATAGAACTGTGTTGTGATTAAATGATAAATGATTTCTTTTCTCAAAATTGATTTTACTATCAATTACTATCGAATATAAAAACAGGTTTGTCACTGAGGGGTTTGGTTGTGTTTATTGATAGAAAAGACCCCTCCCAATAATAGCATATGTACAACAGAAGTTAACCGAGAAAACGTTTTGTTGGAGAGATATAAATATGTACATATTTGAAAACATTCTGATTTGCAGTAAATGAGACACCTGCATTGCCATGTAAGATACAATTAATATCAATCAGTGTTCTAATTTTAACAATACTAAAGATTGTAACAATTTATGTCTTTGAGTAGTATACAATGGACATTCAAGTAAGTAATTGAAAAGCATTCTCACATCCATGGCCACATTGACATGATGCGTCATATTTTAAATAATTATCAATTCTAAATAAATCGTAATTAAGTGCATTTGTCTTTATTTGATTTATATGATGGAACAGTTTCGCAATTTCTAATAGCTAAGCTAATGTTTTCAATATGATGATGCCGACTCCCGTTAGACTAGAAGGTTAAACCTAAATGTTTATAAAAATAAACTTTTTTTATATTGCAGCAATAAAAATTCACATTACTGTCTTTTCGTCAATCTTTCAAAATAAATAATATAGCTTCAGTTTGTTCCTGTGTTTTTATTTGGACTATTCCATTATAATTTGTAGGTACCAGGTAGTGGATAACCTGTTCACTGAACCGTAAATGTTGTTGGTTTAAGGTGTCTGCGAACTGTCTGTCTGCGTAATGGGAGGACACCGACACCCAAATTAGGAAGAATTGTAGGCAGCAATGCAAGATCAAAAGGTGTTCGTAGGTATTTGAAAACAGACGCATTCCATAGGTGACCTCTCGCTCAAGACCTTTTTCAAAATAAAACCAATACTGTTGTACGGCTCTGAAGAAAGGGGCCTACAAAATACGGACTTAATAGAGAAAGTACACGTGTATGCATGCAAGAAATGTCTTGGAGTAAAATTAAATACACCCAGCGCTATGGTTTATGGCGACATTGGGATGTTTCCGCTGTCTGTTTACTCCTCCATAAATGTTGTCAAATACTGGTTAAAACTTTTATATATGCCTTCATATAGAAAACCGAAAATATGTTATAACATGATGATCATGTGTGACAATAATGGAAAACAAAACTGGGTTAAGGGGGTGAGACGGCTGCTCTCTAAAATCGGTTTTGGTAATGTATGGTATAATCAAAAAGTTAACTCACGATGCAATTTTATCATGTCACCGACACAAAGATTGAAAGACATCTATATGCAATCATGGACCGAATCCATATCATCATCAAATAAGTGCTTTTATTATAAACTTTTCAAAACTTATTTCAGTACAGAAGACTACTTCTAGTAATATACCTGTTAAAAAATGTATCCGTTGCTCATCCCATGGTCTCTTTGTTGAAACTGGCCGTTACTCAAACATCAACCGAGATAAAAGAATTTGCAAACTATGCAGCTTAGAATTGATTGAGGATGAATACCACTTTTTTCTTGTATGTCCATTATACTTATCACTTTGAGAAAAATATATCCAAGTATATTATTATAATTACCCAAACTCCACTAAATTTACACT